GGACAGCAGATGGGTACTACACATCAACCTGTGTAGTGTGGCTATTTTTGTCAACATAATGAAGAATACATTTGTCAACTAGAGTTGTCATGGAAATTGAGAGAGACAAAAAAGCATTGCTCAAAATAAAGTATGATCAAAAGGGCTGGAGGACTCCAGTTCCTGTCTTTGCAACCCACACTATAATCATCTTTGATGGCTGAAAACAAGAGGGTCTTGAGTTTATATCTCAAAATGAGACTTTGTCAGCAAAACAGGTTTGTTCACACCATGTCAAGGCAAGGATCATCGTTTTCTCAGAGAAAATGTTTTTCATTCACTGAATCACAGACAACTTGCTTTATCACTTCGGTTTTCTTTGACAGTTTCTCGTCTAAGTCAGAACCAGCTTTAAACTGGAGCTGATATGTCAGCAGATCTGTGATTTTCACATGATTTTCACAAATGCAAAGTATTCTCTTTCCCCCCACAGTAAGAAATACAACGTGTGTCAGCCACTGGCTTTGAGAAAGAAATCCTAGTTGCCATTGCAGAGCCACTGCTGGTGTGCTCATAAGGTGTCCCCAACACACGACCCTTCAGAGAGTCAGCGAAGGGCCAGAAGGGAAAGCAGATCTTTGGAAAGAGGTAATGTCTTGGGGGGACAGGGAGAAGTCCCAGGCAGATGGGCACAATGAAGAGATGATGAACTCAGTTTCTCTTTACTGCTTGCTGCCTCCAGAGGATGAGCTGAGTCTTCAGTGGAAAGACCAACTTCAAAGGTTTGGTGTCATTGCTACTGCATGTGATTGATCTCCTAGCACCAGATACACCACAAAAAGCTTTTGTAAATTTATTAGAGAAAACAGTTGCTCTTATCACTAAAGGCAGTTATTCTAAGGATCCCATCTGGGCAAAACCAGCCCCAAGTTTAGGAATTGCTTCATAAGATTTTATGAAATAAAAAAAAAATTAAAAAAGGTTGTCTCCATGTTTTCTTCCCTTCAGCTCTAAAGCTATTCTTTAAAAAAAAAAAAAAGATTGTTTTGTATTTTAAACTATTTCCATAATTTAAAATACTCTGCCCCAGAGCTGTCTGACTCAAGAACAGCACTGGGGCAAGGGAAGTCAAAACAGGTCCTCATTACCATGCTCTGTGCTGATATAAATAGTGTGGAAAATAATACAGTGCGAGGAAAACCAGTGCTGCCAGACTGAGCTTCCAATACCTATTTACCAAGTTCCCCAGCAGCCATGAGACTGGTTTCTAAAAAGACATAAAAAGTCATAATAAAAAAAATGTGAGGGTTTTTTTAAAAGCTATCCTTACTTTTTGAGTCTTCAGGCCATACCTGATTCAGACTTTCAGTCTTAGCTCCTTATATATCTTGCTTTTTAAAAAAAGAAT